CCACAACGCCCGGCTATTTTTTGGTTGCAGCCGTCATTGTTGTTTGGCGGGTCCGGGCTGGGGATTCGAACCTGCCACATTAGGTGTACATGGCTGGCGCCTTAGCCGGTTGAGCTATAGGAGCCGAGCCACTGACCACCTCCTTAAGATGACCTAACTTTCCTAGACTGGACATGAACCACATGTAAGTATCGGTATAGGAGGCCTAGTTCCTTATGTTGACCAGTTTGTTACAGTCCTTTGGGTGATCAACTTACAGAGATTCTACTGTATTTTAGTATCTTATAGGAATAGTCCTTTCTTTCTTTCTTTTTTTTTTTTTGAGACACAGTCTTACTTGTCACCCTCAATGGAGTGCCGTGGTGTCACAACTCATTGCAACCTCAAACTCGTGGGCTTAAGCAATTCTCTTGCCTCAGCCTCCCAAGTAGCTGTGACTACAGGCACCTGCTACAATGCCTGGCTATTTTTAGAGATGACGTCTCTCTCTGGCTCGGCTGGTCTTAAACCTGTGAGCTCAGGCAATCTACCTGCCTCAGCCTCCCAAGTGCTAGAATTTCAGGTGTGAACCACCATGCCTGGCATATATATATATTTTTTTGATTGCACTGTAATTTGGAAAATTTCCTTGGGTTTATAGTTCCGATTTATGTTAATTTCTATAAGATCTCTGTTCCTTGATTTTCATTTTTCATAATGAACTTTGTATTTTGTCCTATGGGCATTAATCCATAGGTAACTTATCAAAGTTTTTGAAGTTTATTACTTTTCTTGCATCATTATCTTTTTCCTTCGAGTCTGTTTTTCTGTCTTTTTTAGCTCTTTAGCTCTTTCATTTGGTGAGTTGTCTTCTTCTTTTTCTTTCTTCTTCTATGTAGAGACAGAGTCTTGCTCTGTTGCCCAGGCTGGAGGCAGTGACCAGATCAGCGCTCACTATCACTTTAATGCCCTGGGCTCTAGTGCTCATCTTGCTTCATCCTCCAGAGCTGCTGGAACTACAGGTACACACCACCATGCCTGGCTGGTCATTTTAATGATATTAAGTCTTCTGATCCATGAACATGGGATTTCTTTTTCATTTGTTTGTGTCATCTGCAATTTCTCTCATCATGTTTTAGAGTTTTCTTTGTGGAGGTCTTTCACCTCTTTGGTTACATATATTCTTAAGTATTTTGTTTCTTTTGTAGCTGTTGGGATCACCTTCTTGGGTTGGTTCTCAGTCAGATTTTATTGGTGTATAGAAACACTACTGATCTACTGATCAGCAGAGGGTCCGGGCCACAGTTGCCGTGGCAGGATTGATAGGACAGCACGGGACCAAGAGGAGGCTGGGGCACCAGGACCACAGTGGTCTGAGGAGGTTACGGGGTGACCAGGGGGCCCTAGGTAGAGCCAGAGCTGGGCAGGACTGAGTGGCAGGATGGCCATGCAACTGGCAAGGTGGGAAGGATGCAGGACCAGATGCTGGAACTGATGGCCTGTAGGCAAAATGGTGATGATGGAGACACAATTATTGCCACTGAAGAAGACCATTTTCTTTTTTTTTTTTTT